ATATAGTTAAAACTTGTTTTAATTAATTTTTATGTGGATACGAAGAAATATAAAGTGATACAAACATGATATTAGTTAAAATGACATTCAATCGTTAAAAGGCAGTATGCCATTTTACTTGTTGGTTTAAATTGTATACGAAAAGTTAGAATAAAAATTGGCATTTAAGTTTGAGGAATTTGGTAAATTTTTGTTTCAAATTGGATATTTTAGATATTTCAAATAAAGGGTTTTTAAGACTTTTAACACATTATGAAGTAGACTAAAGGCTAATTAACCAAAAAGTATTGACATAGCCTATTTTACCAAATATTATTGTTGACTAGGCTTTTTAAACAAATCCCCCATAAAAGAAATTAGCACCATGTAAATGTGAGAGTACCTCGGATATTTTTTCCACTTGGAAACCACTCTCTCTTCCAAAAAAAAAATTAATAAATAAAAAATGGAGAGAGAGTGAAGGATGGAGGAGAATTATTTGTCATAGTTGCATTTGTTTCACTCTCCTACTTCATATTCCTTGACAGTTTTTTAATTTTTACTAGTTCTTTTTAAACAGCTTAGGCTAACAAGCAGATTCGAGAAGAAAATTTTATTAATTAGTTCAATATTTTGGAATAACTTTTTTCAACTTTCATCACATAGTTCAGCAATAATTTCTTGTGATTAATAAAAAACCAAAAAGCAAGACAGAGTAATCAACTGGTTCATGAAGTGGAAATGATCTTTTTCCCTATTGTGTTCCCATTTTGTCACCAATTGCAAAAATCAGTTAATATGAAGGAGTGGCATGTATGCAAATACCAATATGTATTTAACATAATAGCTAACACAAATGCTTGCTGACAGCAGAAACAGCTACTAACCTTGACAAGGACCTTTGATTTCCCCATAACTTTGACAACTTCACCAACATATGATCCAGGCTCCTGAAGGAGCTCAAGCTCTTCCTTCAACGACCTCACTGACCATGATGTGATGTCATAAAGTACATCCGAGTTAAGTGCATATATGTAATTCAGATCAAATGACATGGAATTCTACTATTCGTTAAAATTATTTGTTTTCCACTTTTTTGTGGGGCGGGTTGGATTGTCTCAAGCTTAACCCATTTACCTTTCTAAAGTTTTACTTTAATAGTCAAACCTCAACACACAGCATTCTACTGAATTATGAACATAAAGAACAAGTGAAACTAATAAAAGTGCCAACAATAAAAAAACACAAAGGATGGAAATAGTAGGAAAACATGGAGAAATATAGGACAGAGGATAAACATACTTTTATAATTCCACAAACTATCATGAATTTGGAATAAAAAATTGGCTTGCCATAACCAAATTCAAGAATGCAGAACTCAATTTTCATCAGTTTCAAATTTGAAATGATTGCAGCAACATCGAGTGCAACCATAAAAACCCCTACTAAGTGAATCAATAATCTGAAAATATAAATAAATTCATATTGACCTGTCATGGATTGGGCCATCATTTTTATTTATCTAGTTGGCTTGTATGGTGGGCTAGCCCAAGCCTTATAGGTTGTTTTTGTTCTACATATAGCTTGGCTTTGAAGACAATGAGGGTCGTCGAGTTGATGAATTGAAATTGGCTACTGCCGTCTATCCTCTTCTCTGCCTCTTCTTGGTGCCTCCGGTTCTTCTTCTTCTTCCTCTGTGCTTTTTGTGTTTCTCCCTTTGTGGTAAGCTTCTTCTTCTCCTGTTTTCTCCTCTATTTCTACTACTTCCTCTTCTCTGAATTTCTCTATTTCTTCTTCCTCCACTAGTCTATCTCTTTCTCTGCTAGTCTATATTGTAACCTTTTGCATTGTAATAGTATTGTCCATTTATGAGATGAAGATCAGTTGTTATTGTTAGTAATTTCACTTTATGTTATTCAATTTGGGTTATTATAATTTATATTCTGCCTCTTGTGTCTACTGTTGCTTGTTATCGGTTGAGTTTTACAAAAATTGGGCTCCAACCATAACAAATGGTATCATGTCATGGATTGGGCCATCTATTTTATTTATCTAGTTGGGCTTGTATAGTGGGCTAGCCCAAGCCCTATAGGTTGTTTTTGTTCTACCTATAGCTTGGGTTTGAAGACAATGAGGGTTGTCGAATTCATGAATTGAAATTGGCTACTGCCGTCTATCCTCTTCTCTGCCTCTTCTCGGTGCCTCCGGTTCTTCTTCTTCTCTTCCTCTGTGCTTTTTGTGTTTCTCCCTTTTTGGTAATCTTCTTCTTCTCTTGTTTTCTCCTCTGTTTCTCCTGCTTCCTCTTCTCTGAATTTTGTTTTTGTTCTACATATAGCTTGGGTTTGAAGACAATGAGGGTTGTCGAATTGATGAATTGAAATTGGCTACTGCCGTCTATCCTCTTCTCTGCCTCTTCTCGGTGCCTCCGGCTCTTCTTCTTCTCTTCCTCTGTGCTTTTTGTGTTTCTCCCTTTTTGGTAATCTTCTTCTTCTCTTGTTTTCTCCTCTGTTTCTCCTGCTTCCTCTTCTCTGAATTTCTCTGTTTCTTCTTCCTCCACTAGTCTATCTCTTTCTCTGCTGCTCTATATTATACTTGTAACCTTTGCATTGTAATAGTATTGTCCATTTATGAGATGAAGATCAGTTGTTATTGTTAGTAATTTCACTTCATGTTATTCAATTTGGGTTATTACAATTTATATTCTGCCTCTTGTGTCTGCTGTTGCTTGTTATTGGTTGAGTTTTACAAAAATTGGGCTCCAACCATAACATGACCTCTCTTAAGGCTAACAAAATAAAAAAGGCCCTAGTCGGTAGCTAAAATAAATGCCTCTACCATTTTTATGGTTTTAAGACAGTCTATAAATAACATTACGCATTCAACGGCAACTGTGTACGCGATGAATATACCCTCATATATGATATAACATATAATTGGAAAATTCTTGGAGAGACCTTGGCCACTGAGGTTATTGCGATGGGCTTCGAGGCGCTGGAGATCGTGAGTTTTTTGGCAGGCTTGGAGCTCAAGATCCTGTATCCGTTGCTGATAGTATTGCCGAAGCCCTTCCCCACCAACGCCGGCGCCGCTTTGTTGGTGGTGGTGATTCGCGTCTTTCGCCTGCCGAGTCTCTATCGCCGATGTCGCCATTCGATCGGAGAATCAGTGAGTTTTTGTTGATCAAATTTTGGGTTTATCCTGCGGCGGTGTTTTATATCTAAAATGTGCTGGAGTTGAAGTGAAGAAAAAGAAACAAAAACTATCTCATAATTGCAAAGATGCCCCCGTGTTTATAATTTATGTCATATGATAACCCTACCAATATTGTTGTGTGTCATGTTGACTCTCCATGTATAAAAACACCTCGTCAACAAGAGTGCTTCTTAACAAACATATTTAAACCGTGTCATACAATAAAGTTTAAGGTCAAAAAAAAATTTTCCCATTCGGTTCGACAAATTTTTTGTGTAGAACTATGTGAACTCTGCTAATAATAAAAGGCGAGAGATTAAATGTCTAAAAAGGGTAAATTCTTCTAAGGTTCCAACATTTCATTTTTGGCACCGTATTCCAATCTTTGAATAGTGCGTGTGATATCTCTATATGACAAAAGGAAAAAATCTATTTTGATGTTTAAAATATCAAGCAATGCGCACCCCTGTTTATGATTTATGTCATATGATAACCCCTACTAATATTGTTATGTATCATGTTGGCTCTCCATGTATAAAAGTACCTTGTCAGCAAGAGTGCTTCTTAACAAACATATATAAATAGTGTTGTACAATAAAGTTTAAAGTCAAAATTATCTTTTTACATTCACTTTGACAAAAAATTTTGTATAAGATTATATGAACTTTGCTAATAATAAAAAGCGAGAAATTAAGGGGTTGTTTGATCCCCATTTTTCTCAAAAAATACATTTTGAAATGGTGTTATGATAGAGAATGTATAGTTAAAAATAATAAAAAAAACTTTTGATTTGCATGTAATATTATATTTTATTGAAAAATTGTGGTTGAAATATTGTCAAGTCACTATTAAAAAATATATTTTGATAAAAAAATGGGGATCAAACAAAAGCTAAATGTTTAAAAAGGGTAAATTTAATTAAAGTTCCAACATTTTATGTATGGCACCCATATTCTAATATTTGAATAGTGCATGTGATATATTTATATGATAAAAAATTCTAATTTGATATTTAAAATATCATGCAATGCGCATATAATATCTTATTGAATTAAAGATAGCTATTTTTCCTCGGACAATTTTCAATCAGACATGTTGTGTCATCAAATGGACTTTTTTAGTTATTTGGGGAGTCACGTAGTGTTAGGGCTTGTTCAATAGTGATTATAAAAATTGATTTTTTAATCATTAGAGAGAAAGTGAGTTTCATCTGTGAGAGAAAAAGTCAAAAATAACGACTGACTTGAAAAAGTAATGTCAAAAAATTGATTTTTTGAAAAGAAAAATCAAAACCAAATGTGCAC